GAGGGGCATTCAAGAAGCTCACTTTTTTTTTCATCGTAGGATCAGACACTCTAGGGTTAGACAATTATACGAAAAAGTAATTTTTTAATTCTGTATTTGTTTTTCAAATCAAAAAGTGACATGACTAAAATTTTGTTAGTTTATTGTTTCATTGTATTTATTACTTTCACAGTTAATGGCGATAAATAATTGAAATTAGAATATACAATTAAAAATTATTTTGCAGTGATTTTAAAAAAATAATTTCCATACCATAGTCTTGTCCCACTGCTCCATAGGGGACAGACAATTCACCTTCTTCTCTCACATGAGAAACCAAATTAGTCCTTGAAGGGTAGAAACTCTTTCAATTAAAATTCTCAAGAGTTTTATTTATATGCCGAATTATGCATGGTAGATAACTTGTAGAGTTAATTATCTATTTGGTACTTGAACTATATTATTTATGTCAATCATATCCCTGAACTATGTTTTGTGTCAATTTAATTTTTGAACTATGCACTTTGTATCAATGTGGCACTTCCGTCCAAATTCAATATTAACTTTGATGGAATTTTTCACGTGCGCATCATGTGGGTCGAAAATTAGGGTACAATTTATGGGTCACATGTTGTGCACGTGAAGAATTCCGTCAAACTTAACAACGAATTTGGATGGGATGGTCACATTGACACCAATGTTATAGTTCAAGGGCGAACTTGACACAAAGCGTAATTCAGAGAGTAACTTGCCACAAATGGTATAGTTTAAGAGGCAAATAGACAATTAACTCTAACTTGTATTAAGAATGTAGACAAAGTAATGGTAATCATTCAATTTTGTAGAGAAGATAATAGAATTTTCTTTGGGGCATTTTCAAACTTAAAAGAAAAGACAATGATAAGCCTCTAGTCAATTAGCTCAATTAAATTTTTTTATTTTTATTTTTTGATCAAAAATTTTTTCTTTTTTTTTTATTGACAAGCAACTCGGATGTGATTCGAATTTTAATGCCACTCATTGATTGTGTCTCAAAATATAGATATATTTCGGTGTGATGAAAAATTGTCTCAACTAAACATTTTTTGGACACGTGATTACAACGCTTAACTTCAGATTTATACATTACACAAAAATTGTGTGCGTTAGTTAAACCTAAGTTATATCTAGCCGCACCAAAGAAAAAGAAGAAGAAGAAAAAGCCGAGTTATAGAAGGCAAGGTGAACTTAAACATTGGATGTGCATATTTATGTCTCTCCCTCGTTTGACCGCTGAACCAACACGTACAAATTTATCATCTCAAAATATTGTGTTTGGAAAGGTTCATTCACAAATATACATAATATTGAGGGTAACTATTCAATAAGAAAAGAACAAAATGAATAAAATAGATTCTACTTTCTATCATAGAGATAATTATGTATAGGGATGACACTGAACTGCAAAGGGGCGGGGGTATAGTCTTCATCCCCGTACCCGCTTAAAATAACTCCGTCAATCCCCTGGTCCTCCCCCAGTAACTGGTATACTTTTCATCATCATCCCTGTCCGTAGATAAATTTGTAATCCCCGCCCCTGTCCCCGTCCACCTTACCCGCCCGATCCCAAGTCTAAGTTTAAGTCAACATAATTCAAAATTTTAAATAAATCTAATATTCTAAATAATCCAACATAATTATAAAATATGATAACATAATTAAAAGTTTGTCATCTACATAATCCATCATAATATAAATAAACCTTGTCTACAATATAATCTAACATAATATATACTATTAGTAAAAGTACCTTACAAAAACAAATTTTGATTTACTTTTTTGCCCTCATAAAAAAACTATAAAGACTAACATGTCCTGTATTTAAATATATAGATTACCATTATATATCTTTATATTTAGATAACAAACTAATATCTAACATATCATATAAATCTCAATCTTTACAAAACTTTTAGATGATCATGTTACTTTTAACAGGATAATAAAAAAATTATTCTTTTGTTTCCAAATTCTCAATATTAATACACATGGATAATTTCATTTATATAATATTATCTTCGATACCAAAAAATCAATATATGTATCTTTTCCTCGTCATCAATAATATAAACAATTTAAGTATGATAATAATGAGATAATATGTAATTTAGTTATATAATTAAATTTTGGTTAATAACACTTTTAATCTCTAAAGTATGCATTTTTTGTCAGTTTAGTTCTCATTGCATCAATTTTATTAATTTGGTCCTTAAAGTATTCAATCCGTATCACTTTGGTTCCTAATTAGCAATCCATCAAACTTTTTGACAGAAGTGATCACGTGTCATTTTTTTAAATGGTATCATATGCCCAACACGTGATCATCCGTCAACAACTTAACAGTCTGTCTATGTAAAAACCAAAATAGCATGAATTGTATATTTTAGGGGGGACCAAATCGATAAAATTAATATAATGAGAAATAAACTAAGAAAAATCACATATTTTATAGTTTACATGATGCATTACTAGTATAACTAAAAGCTTGTCTCTCACGTAAATCCAACACAAATATCATGCAACACAACATAATGTAACATAACATAATTCAACATAAAAACACAAAAATTTACACTTTCACAAGCTAAGAATATGAAAAAAATTAAAAAATAAAATAATTTTTTAAAGAAAAAAATTATGTAATATATATATAAAATAATAATAATAATAATAAGTAAAGTAGGACAAGAAGGGACGGGACGGGAATCAGTGTCAGTCTATCCCCACCTTCATCCCCACACGGATTTATACAAGTATTCACGTTTGTGATCACTTTTAGATTACCTTAAATGTATATTGATTGAAAGCTGAACAGAAATGGAGATGAAACTCATACTCATTATTCAATTGAGTACAGATTACACGCGCACACATATTTCTTCCAACGATATCAAATAGACTTATCCAACATCTACCAACATTTATCTCAAAATTATTCATATTAAATTTTATCTTCCTCTTCCACTTTTCATGCTCTCTCTAGAATCTTCACTACTTGTTTTTTTAAATTAACCGATTGATTTACGTTGAATTGTGTCAGGAGTTACCCCTAGTATATATATAATAAAACACTCAGCAACTTGAATTTTTACCTCTTATATATTTTTTTTTCCAAAAATATTATATCACATGTTCAGTTATTTAATATTTCATTAATTTACAATTCAATATAATTTTTATTTCAAATATTATCTATAAACGATAATACACACGTGTTAAAAAAAATTTATCTAATTACGTATTTTAAAAAAAAATTATCAATATTTTTAAAAATATAATAGATAAAAATAAATTTTAAATAATTTAATCAAAGAAATGCAAGAAAAAAATATATATAATATAAAATAAAATAGACTTTAATAAACCTACTCGATAATCTCAAATAAATTCACCTAATCACCACCGAGATTTCTTTCCAAACCATTAACAATGAATCCAGACATTTTTAACCCACCGTAAGTTTCCTTAATTACTTACCGAAAAAAAGTTTCCTTAATCCTACCAGCCTTTTCCATCCTCTCTGTCTCTGTCTCTGTCTCTGTCCATCGCACCATCTCTCTCTATATAATAACGTCTTCTCTATCGCCTGTAGTTTTATATGAAACACAAAAAATAACGGCATATTTTTCTCGCCCCTCTCTGGATTTTCTCGGACAAAACAAAACATTACTCTCTCTCCAAAGCCAAACCGGGCTATTTTTTCTCAAAGATTTTTGGAAGATCCAAAGATAACCCATTTTCACAAACCATGTAGCCCATGTAGATCTTCACTCTCTCTCACACACACATAACGGCACTAACTTTTGTGACTATTTCTCTTTAGACTGCACAATGGTGGTGAAAATGATGAGGTGGCGTCCATGGCCACCCCTTCTATCAAAGAAATTTGAAGTAAAACTCATAGTTCGAAGGTTAGAGGGCTTGGACAGTGATTTCCTGCATGAGGGTATGGAGAAGGATCGTGGACTGGCGGTAGAGATCAGGTGGAAAGGATCCAAGATCGCTCTGAGCTCGTTTGGGAGGACGGTGAAGAGAAACTTTACAAGGGAGGAAAATCCGAGGGTGTTTGGGTCAAACGGCGTCGTTGAGTGGGAAGAAGAGTTTCAAACCGTGTGTAATCTTTCTGGGTACAAGGACAATNGATCACTTTTAGATTACCTTAAATGTATATTGATTGAAAGCTGAACAGAAATGGAGATGAAACTCATACTCATTATTCAATTGAGTACAGATTACACGCGCACACATATTTCTTCCAACGATATCAAATAGACTTATCCAACATCTACCAACATTTATCTCAAAATTATTCATATTAAATTTTATCTTCCTCTTCCACTTTTCATGCTCTCTCTAGAATCTTCACTACTTGTTTTTTTAAATTAACCGATTGATTTACGTTGAATTGTGTCAGGAGTTACCCCTAGTATATATATAATAAAACACTCAGCAACTTGAATTTTTACCTCTTATATATTTTTTTTTCCAAAAATATTATATCACATGTTCAGTTATTTAATATTTCATTAATTTACAATTCAATATAATTTTTATTTCAAATATTATCTATAAACGATAATACACACGTGTTAAAAAAAATTTATCTAATTACGTATTTTAAAAAAAAATTATCAATATTTTTAAAAATATAATAGATAAAAATAAATTTTAAATAATTTAATCAAAGAAATGCAAGAAAAAAATATATATAATATAAAATAAAATAGACTTTAATAAACCTACTCGATAATCTCAAATAAATTCACCTAATCACCACCGAGATTTCTTTCCAAACCATTAACAATGAATCCAGACATTTTTAACCCACCGTAAGTTTCCTTAATTACTTACCGAAAAAAAGTTTCCTTAATCCTACCAGCCTTTTCCATCCTCTCTGTCTCTGTCTCTGTCTCTGTCCATCGCACCATCTCTCTCTATATAATAACGTCTTCTCTATCGCCTGTAGTTTTATATGAAACACAAAAAATAACGGCATATTTTTCTCGCCCCTCTCTGGATTTTCTCGGACAAAACAAAACATTACTCTCTCTCCAAAGCCAAACCGGGCTATTTTTTCTCAAAGATTTTTGGAAGATCCAAAGATAACCCATTTTCACAAACCATGTAGCCCATGTAGATCTTCACTCTCTCTCACACACACATAACGGCACTAACTTTTGTGACTATTTCTCTTTAGACTGCACAATGGTGGTGAAAATGATGAGGTGGCGTCCATGGCCACCCCTTCTATCAAAGAAATTTGAAGTAAAACTCATAGTTCGAAGGTTAGAGGGCTTGGACAGTGATTTCCTGCATGAGGGTATGGAGAAGGATCGTGGACTGGCGGTAGAGATCAGGTGGAAAGGATCCAAGATCGCTCTGAGCTCGTTTGGGAGGACGGTGAAGAGAAACTTTACAAGGGAGGAAAATCCGAGGGTGTTTGGGTCAAACGGCGTCGTTGAGTGGGAAGAAGAGTTTCAAACCGTGTGTAATCTTTCTGGGTACAAGGACAATGTGTTTCATCCTTGGGAGATTGGATTTAGTGTGTTGAATGTGAGTTTTTTTTTTTCAATTCCTTTCGAGTCTTCAACGTCTGATTGATCGACTTTTTGACTTATTTGGTAGTTTATCTATGCTGGTATTTTATAGATTATTGAGTACTCCCCCCTCCCCAAAAAAACAAAACCCCCCAAGCAAAAAGGAGTATTTTGCATACTTTTAGGATGGTTTGATATTTTGATTTATATTTTAGGTAATTGGGAAAGTATATGCAATTTTTAGTTTTGGATTTCTGTTTCTTTTTTTATTTGAATGCTGTGCATTTCTACTTTGACTTATTTGAGGGTTTTTTTTTTGCTTTTGAATTTGGCTTGAGAAATGTTGGTTTCTACGGAAATATACATGTTGAATTTTATTGCTATATGTTTATTGGGGGAGGATTAGATTTCTGTCATAGCTCTTGCAATTCTAATTTTCAGATTTCCTTTGTGATTATGGTTTGTTTGTGCTTTGTTTTCTCAATTTTGGAAATTTTGTTATAGCTATATGTATGTGTTTAGTTATGTGCTGATGTATTTGTGGTGGATTATGAATCACCCATGTGTTTTATTTATGAATTGTTTATTCGTGCTGGATTATGAATTGCGTGGAATATTTATGTAGAGAATCTACGAGAAACGTAGGCACGATAAGTTGAATCATTTTTGTGGCAATTTGAGTAATTGCAGCTTTGAGATATGATTTGAGCACCAGAACTTTGGGATTTTTGTCGGAATAAGTTAGAACAGTCTTTGTAAGGGGATCTCTGAAGCAGTTATTTATGCATCTTTTTGGGTGCAAGGAAATCTCCATCTGGTTGATATTTTTTTAGCCCTATTACTTATTTTGAAATTCTTGCCACTTCTTATGTAAATAGTTTAGCATCCTTGCCTTGAAACCGATTGGATTTGTGGCTTATTAAAAGCACTTTTTGGTACATCAGATTATGTATTAATATACAGTCAGATCTTATCTTGTTATGATAAAGTGGAGAACTTCTGTTTGTTGAATGGTTCACTTTTACAATTTGGGGCTACCTATGATTTCGATAATTACTTATTACTTATTTTGTTTAGGAGTGACTAGATAATTTTGTTCTACTTCAGGGCTTGAACCCGGGGCCAAAGAACAAGGTTCCTGTTGTTGGGACGGCATTGTTAAACCTTGCTGAATTTACGTCTGCAGCTGCAGAGAAAGAGTTTGAACTTAACATCCCTCTGGCAGTTTCAGGCAATGCAGCTGAGCCTTGTCCCTCACTTTGTGTATGTACCATCTTTAGCATACAGTGGGTCATGGGGTCATTGTTAGATTATCTTCTAGTTGCATTCCCTTCTACAGAGAATGTTTTCCTTTCACATTTCTTGTGTGGTTGTCCTAAATTTTCTGTCTTACGTGCTGTGCCATCTGTGGTGCAGATATCGCTTGGCTTATTGGGACTGAGAACTGCTGGAGAACCAATAGAGGCAGTGCAGAGATCAATAGCGAAAGCTGGTCTTAGAAAGGTGAAAATCTTTACTAAGTATGTCTCGGCCCGAAGAGCGAAGAAAGCTTGCCATGAGGAAGAGGGCAGCGATGGCAGGTGCTCTTCTAGGAGTGAGGATGGCAATTTTACATACCCTTTTGACTCAGACTCAGTTGATGAATTTGAGGAATCGGATGAGAGCAAGGAAGACTCTAATGTTACGAAGTCATTCAGTTATGGGCCTTTGGCTTTTGCAAATTGTGCAGGACAGCAATTCCATTGCAGCATGAGAATCAATGGTGAGGATGACGACTGGATTTACTACAGCCATTGCAAATCAGATGTCGGCTGCTCCCACATGGAGGACTTGACTGCCTCTATATCCGAGCCATCTCTGTCGCGGAATGTGAAGCGAAGTATTCTACCTTGGAGGAAGAGGAAGCTGAGTTTCAGATCTCCTAAAACCAAAGGGGAGCCACTGTTAAAAAAGGTCTATGGAGAAGAAGGCGGAGATGACATTGACTTTGACCGTCGGCAGCTTAGTTCTGACGAATCTCTCTTTTCTGATGTAAGAATTATGTGCTGCTTTATTTTATTTCTCTTCACCAAAATCACTTGCATTTTCATTTTCTTGGTTTTACCATGTCAACTCCATAAGTTTTTCTTTCTATTAGGGATATCAAGTAGAACCTCATTATTTATCTCTGTGATATTATTTTGTGCTTCTGTAATTACGTTTCTTAAGTTGTTACCAAATAACACCATCTCATGCAATATGAACCCTGTATAACATTAGTTAGCTCGCTGAACTTCTTGATTGAAAATGAGTATGTATAGTCTTTTATAATTTTTTATTTTGCTGTACCTTCACATAACTTGGGCAAATTATCACCTCAACTTGTAAGCATTTTTACCGTACTAGATTTTTTTGATATGCCATCAAATGATGCCATTGCCCTATCATGCCGATTGACACCGGCCGTTTAATGGGATATGAATCCTATGTTTGTTTGAAATAATCACTCCCCATTTCGGGTTTGTCAATCTCTGATTCTCTACACATCCCTTAATCGTGTTTATAATTTCGCATGAACCTTAACATAAAATGGTCACATTTTCTCTTTTCCTATACCAAATTTGTTAGATATGATTTGGTAAATAAATGTTTATCTATTAGTCTGTATCCTTATTTACTTTCTTTATAACCCAAAAATATTGCTAAATCTGTTACAATAAGTCATGGAAATTGAATGTGATTTGCGTCAATTTTGCTGTCGTTCTTTATTTCTTTATCAATCAAAATTGTTGGATTCTAAGTACCACAAATGGCTACCCTTTTTTGCAGTGCCATAAGACTGAAGAAGACTCAAGCGCAAATCTATCCTCATTATCTGAATTTGGGGATGATAATTTTGCTATCGGCAGTTGGGAACAGAAAGACATCACGAGCCGTGATGGATACATGAAGCTTCAAACCCAGGTCTTCTTTGCTTCCATTGATCAGCGAAGCGAGCAGGCAGCAGGCGAGAGTGCATGCACAGTCCTTGTTGCTGTGATTACTGATTGGTTGCAAAACAACAATGATCTGATGCCTATAAAGTCACAATTTGACAGTCTGATCAGAGAAGGCTCATTGGAGTGGAGAAAATTCTGTGAGAATGAAACCTATAGGGAGCGGTTTCCAGACAAGCATTTTGATTTAGAAACAGTTCTCCAAGCCAGTATACGTTCTCTTGCTGTAATTTCTCGAAAGTCGTTTATTGGGTTTTTCCATCCAGATGGGATGGAGGAAGGGAGATTTGATTTTTTGCATGGGGCTATGTCTTTTGACAGTATATGGGACGAGATCAGTCGAGCTGGATCAGAATGCCCTACCAAGGGTGAGCCCCAAGTTTATATCATCAGTTGGAATGACCATTTTTTTGTCCTCAAGGTTGAACAAGAAGCTTACTACATCATTGACACATTAGGGGAGAGACTCTATGAGGGATGCTACCAGGCTTATATCTTGAAATTTGACAGAAACACAACGATCTTTAAACTGCCCAGTGCTACACAATCATACAAAGAAAATACTGCTAGTGGACAGCAGATAGTTGCTGCTGCTGTGGAACCCAAATACCAGAAGAGTCAACAGATCAACCCAGAGGAGGGTGCCATAGGAGGGCTTACAGTAATTGGACCTGAAGAATCAATGAAGAGTGAAATGGAAGAAGAGGTGGTGTGTCGAGGAAAGGAATCGTGCAAGGAGTACATAAAGAGCTTCTTGGCTGCAATCCCAATTAGGGAATTGCAAGCTGATCTGAAGAAAGGTTTGGTTTCATCAACGCCTGTTCATCACCGATTACAGATTGAATTTCATTTCACCCACTTACGACATCCAGCACCCAAAACTCCAGCAATAGAAGTTTCCACAGGCACACCCGTGCCACAAGTTGTTGAAGTTGCATTAATGGAGGATGTCGCGTAGGTACTTGCTGTAAATCGTAGGAGAAGTGTGATTATTTTCTAATTTTTTTTTTCTCTTTTAACAAATAACAATGGTATGTCATCAGGTGAATGGATCAAAAAAAGGATCTCATTTCATCTTTCCAGTAGTTTTCGAGTTCTTTTTTTTTTTTTTTCCAAAATGTATCCTGGTTACAATGAAACCATCCTTACTACAAAGTGTTTATGCTTGTTTATGTCTCTTTGTTGTTATATTGTGTGGCAACTGCCTTTATTTTGCCTTTCCAAGAAAGGGATAGCTTGTACAACACTTTGTAATCTCGCTCTCTTCTGTTGAAGTACCTCTAACTTGTGATATGTCTCCTACTTTTCTTGCATATGTTACATTTCCCAAAATATTATTCATTTTAGGTGTACAGCTTTTTCCAACTGCCTTGCAGCTACTTTCTTTTCTTTTCTTTGTTTTTTTCTCTTTTTTTTTGGTTTAATGGTCAGAAATGTCTAGACTAGCTTACGCGCATCTCGACTAATCTCCTCTCCGATTCGGTCAAAGACAGATCATCCACATCAAAATTAAAATATTCACGAGAAATAAATTCATAATCTGACTCTAAGATGTTTATGTTTATAACTCGTCTCTATTACTATTTAAACTATCCAACAGTTTTTACATCTACTTTATGATTTTCTCATATGATGGGCAAATGGTTCTGATCTGACCCTAGGTTTTGACAGGATTAGAATCTTGATTGTTTGTAATTTGGATTCTGCCATTCTATTTGGTGAAGACTTTTTTTTTTTTTTTTCCTTTGGTGAGGATTATTAAGGCTCCAATAAGATATTGATACTGTATGTCTGTGTACCAGCAAGCTGTAAAGATGACTTTTTCAATTTTTGTCTTTGAGTAGGTTAAGTCTACGGTAGGGAAAGTTTTTTCTCTGTAACCAACCACCAATTTCTGATTTCTGGATCTCACTTACAACTTTTTAGGATAAATTTTAGCATTTTAGAATCGATCCCAATATTTCAAGATCTATCCTAATTTGAACCCCAAAGTTTTTAATTTAAATTCAAAAATTTGTAATGTAACCCCAAAAGTTGTATATTTTAAGATGGATCCTAATTTTTTTTTTCCTGGTAAAACTCCCAAAAATTATATCTATAGTTCACCCACAAAAATTATAACATACCTATTTCGATACCGTAATCAAACCCGTTTGAGGACATGAGAAGATTCTTTACTTTGGTGTGCAACTTCTAAGAAATAGTCCACGCAGAGTTCCTATGTTCAGTCCCTCTGGTTTCTTTTCTTATCTCCGCTATGACCAGGGCAGCAAATAACAATAAGATGGCAAATACTGCTAGGCTTTGTTATTCATTTGCAAGGTCCGATTTTGATACCGAAAAATTAACCAATAAAAATGTGACAAGTACAAATTTTTTATATTATAAATGGCAAAACATAAAAGAGTATATGAGATGTATATTATTTTCAATATCAATGATTGCAAATAAATCAAGTCACGATCCGTAAAATGAAATCATTTTCAGTACCATAGTCTTAGCATCCTCAAAAATATCAGCAGTGCATACTAAAGATGTGTTACCTGTTCTGCTTCAAAGTGGATTACTCCCATGATTAGCTGAACTAATTCTAAGTTCAATCGAACTTTTCTATTTTATAGTCTAGTTTATGGGATTCAGGTTTTCTCTAATACACTTTTTTATCAATTTTTTTTTCACACATCACTCACCATTAATAAGTGAAGAACCCACTCGTATATAATGGGTCCCACTTGACTACATGATAGATAATGTGCCAATAAAAAAAAAATTTAAAAAAGCATATTAAAGAAAATCTCACTCCAATTTCTGATTAAATATGTTTTTGGGAAAGTTAAAAACATATCCAGTCAAAACCTAGATATGTTACTATTGCATCATCTTCTATTACTTCTAGAAAATTATAAATGGAATAAATTACTCCTAAACTATACCACATATCTCAATTAAGTCCTATAAAATTAAAGTAGAACCTGAAAATCCATTGTTGGTAGCTCTTGTTACAGTTTTGGCTGGGTTTCAAATGAGATCCTTTAAACTTGAAAAAGACAAAGGTATGTGGTATCACATAGAAGTAATCCATTTTTTTTTTTTATTTCAATGGTTAGGAATAACTCCTGCATACCTCAACTAATCTTCTTTCCAATTCGATCAAAGACAAGTCATCCATATTATGATTAAAATATTCATAAAAGATAAATTCCTTATAATTTGACTTAAGAGGTTGCTATCTGTCATCTCTTCCAAAAAGGTTGCTATCTGTCATCTCTTCCAAATTTGCTATAGACAGTTTTATGCACCAAATACATTAAGTAGACACAAGAAAAAAAAATCATTAGTTCCTCGACAATTCTAGTAAGCTTGATGATAGCAAAGCTTGGATACACCCGAGGTTTTGGAGCTGTGACCTGTGAAGGGGTAGATCTTCAACACACATTACAAAATTGATATATTCGATTATATAGGAAAACAACACAGATACTGGACCATATAAGCAGCATATATCAATGTAACAAGCAGGGAAGCAAAACACAACTCCCACCACTACAAATCTATAGAGGGTCAAATATACGCTTTCAATCTCCCGGCTCAAAGGGATTTTGAGGAACGGGCAACTCGGTAGGCTTTAGTTTTTCATATCTTATAAAATAAAAAGGTTATGGTTCCTAACAGCACTCTTAATCCTATATACCATCCCAGACAATAAACGTGAAACATTAAATTCTCAAAAAGTATATAGTAGGATTAGCAACTTACAGTCTGAAGAAGTAGCCGAAATAGTCACCATTACAAATACACAACATCAAAGCTTAGGTAGGTCTAATGTTTCGGAACCTCAGAAGCAAACAGTCTTTATATACATTATTTATATATGATATCTCTGAATTACTTAAACATCAGCCACGGACTCCGATGCTCCCAACCCAATGCTAAAATCAAAGTTAATGCATGTCATCTGATGCTTCTCATCTGTGATGGTCATTTGAAGTGTGTAGGAGCCCTGGATATTTCAAACATCGTCAGCTCCACGAGAGAGAGAGGAAAAACAAATATGATTAAAAGAACTCCAAAAGATAAAAGAAAACAAAAGAGAAAGAAAAAAACAACAAAAGAAATCTACATGGTCACTTTAATTATAAATAAGACTTAGCACATGAGTAGGAACCAAACAGAGATTACTCCCAACTCACAATAGTTGAAACAATTGCAGTATATTTTTTAGGGAATAAGAATTTATATTCTCAAGAGTTACCAACTCCTGAGATCTCAAAGTCATGATTCGTGGTGACTTGAAATTTTAAAAGCAACATTTACTGAAAACCAGCTATTTTATTACATCTCATTTGAAAATACGAATTGATTTGGGTTACAAAGTAAAATTCAGATGAAGGGTCCATCGCTAATCCTTTCATTCATTAGTGCAATCTGGGCAGTTGAAATTAGGAATTCCTCTACCTATATATATTTCTCAGGTTTGACAGTTACTGGTTCAGTGGTTAAAATTCAGTCCAATAACCTCAAGGTTGTGGTTAACAATGAGGTTGTTCTGCATTTCCACTCCCCCAGGTGAGCACCAAGTAAGGCAAGCATAAAAAGCTGGAGAACACTCCTTCATGTAGCTTTTGAAGCTCATGTGCAAGAACAGAAATAGAGAAATAGGGAATTTCGATGTACGGAAATGCTGATTCACAAATTGAACAAGTACTTTCAAAAAATTCTTTTGTAGATCTAAAGAAGGTTGACACCATTTTCTAGGGAGCCGATGCACAATTGTTGAAAGTGTTCCCCTCTGCAGCAATCTAATTGCTAAGATATAATAACTTCATCAGGTTTTTCAAATTAGACTCTGGCTTGGGACATATAAATCAAAGGAGATTAGGTGTACTGAAAATAAAAACTCAGTAGTGTAATCGATAATAAAGGTATTGGTAAATGATTAGCAAGATGACTTACCGGTGGAGTGATTCCAGGTAAAACTTGGGAGTGAGAAATCACAAAATCACCAGCGGAAACAGGGCAAGGAGTCTTAGAACAAAGGTCATCAATCTCTTGATATACGTGTAAGAAAAAGTAAGAAACATCAATCACCATCTTTCCTCCGGAGAGAACTTTATCTGCACAAAAAAAACATAGTGATTCAGTTGGTACCAATTTTCCAAATAAGATTTTTAAGTTTGAAGCACTTGGCATGTCAAAGAATGTTATCTCCCCCTCTGCTATTTCTTGTTTTTTTTTTTTTTTTTTTTTTGGTTTTGTTTTTTGGGGGGGGGGATGTCATTTCCTCCTAATACCCCCAGTTTAGCTCACAAGCTAGGCACTTTATAGTTTTTGCTCCTCCATTATTGAGACTCAAACTCTGCGAATTTACCAAATTGGGAAGCAAGGCATCCCCACATGATTTAGCAACTACTGGGATTAAAGTGTGCTCCTTCAACCAAGAAGAGCAGGAACACTCAAATAAGGACGAAAGATATAACCAGCTCTCAAAATCATCATGATTACAATCTCTTAAATGGAACAAAAACCAAACAAATTTTATAGCTACACAAAGGCAGAAGCAAAAACATTCAATCCTGGATAAGTGTAACACATTTTATTTGCACATGTAGTTCAAATCATAACAGATTGCAAAGGCTGAACTCTAAAACCAAATTACCCAACTGCGAGTGCACACACACAAAAAAAAATCCCATTGACCATCATAGAGTGAGATATTAGCACGAATTTTAGGTCTCATGGTTCAAGCTACGCAATCTCATCTGATGCTATTCCAACAAAATAATTAGAAGAACCCCAAGAAGTTGCAGAATCACAAATAGGGACAATTCACACAAGAAGAATAAAATAGTCAATTTTTCCAAAAACAATTCTAGTTGTAGATCATGTTATTCGAATTATTTCTCAAAAACATGAAATATCCAAATAATGATCTCAGTCCTCAAAGGGCATGAGTACAGAATAAAAAACAACACCCAGTTTAGCCCCATTAATGAGAGTCCAGGAGGAGTACATAGGATAAAGACCAAAACCTGTGGCTGCCCAAGGTTCGACCCCAAACCTCAAGGCTATTGAGATGAAGCTATGTTGTGGTCCATATGGGGCAATAGACCCTCTCAAGTTTTGAAAATCGTATTTTATATCCCAAAATAATGTTTTTGATTTCGGTTTACATGAATTTATCAAGTTTTCAAAATTATAATCCATACACTTAAATTATGATCTTGGTTGCCCTTTATCCCACTGACTAAAAAATTGAAAATATTCGTGCAAAACCAAAATCTAACTACTCCTGTAAGATATGACAATTTTTTTATGGTTACTGGTCGCAATCAAATCAATAGTCAAGTGCTAAAATGAATTTACTAAAACTTAGGATACATGGATAAGGATACGGATACGATATACAGATACGACTATACGACAAAATAAAAAAAAATAGGATACAAATACAACTACGATACGCTTAAAATAAAATATATTTTATATTTTACTATTATTTAACAATTTACAAATTATATTTTTTAATAATTATTTAACAATAGTAAGCAAAATTAACAATTTTTACCTTCAAAAAAATATGAAATATCGACTCATAATGAAATATTCATAAAGCAAACGTGACCAATTAGAGAAATTAGAACCAACATTTAATTAGTTGGTTTGTTTACAAGTATTTATTTCTAAAATTATAATGTAACTTACTCATCTTTTTTTTTTATACTCTTTAGACAAATAATAGTAGACAATACTTTAAAAAAAATCGTGCCTTCAAAATTAAATAGAATTTTGTTGATATTTTATATTATATGTGAACTCGAAAGGAGAAGGTATAGATAGATTAAAATTAAAAATTGAACATTTTGCTCCATGTGTAGAAATATATCCCACGTACACTCGAGTATTGTATCCAATAAGGGTACGTCAACGTTGATGAAGTCCGTGCTTCATGGACTCAAACCATACACATGTAGAGTCCAAAACTGTAAAACACCCCCCCCCCAAAAAAAAAAAATAAAATTTAGTTTTTGCACTTTGCGTAAAACTAATGAAATTCAGTTGTATTCGGTGATTAGTATGTTATGAAATTATGAAAGCTTGAAAATGTACATTGTTTGATGAATTGATTTGAATTTATTTACATCCAACTAATTGGACAAGTTTTTATTTTCTCGATTGTATTATAAATAAATAATACTAAAATGCGTGAAATTATATAATTTCTCGAACATGTTACAAATGACTATGTTCCATATGCAAATTATATAATTTCTCACAAGCCTAGATATAATTATAGTAATATTCATAAGAAGTTCAATACTTTATGGCAAGTAAAACTTGTGTTTAGTCACCTAATCTTAATTTTTAGACAAAACAATCACAATAGTCAATAATCACAAATTTTTTTCTGGACAATTGTGTAGCAAAAAGACAGACCTATAATGATTACTCTCTCTCCTCAACTCCTCTTCTTAAGCAAAAAGTTTAGGCATCTTGTTTGTTTATTAGTAAATTTTAGGTACAACTCTAGCATGATTGAAAAATTATTTTTAATCTAGAAAAATTATTTTTTCTCTCACGATAGACGATATGTGTCAAAAAATTAAACTTGGTTAATTACATGTCAGCATATGCTTATTGTTTACTAGTAGACATGGCCGAAAAAAATGTAGGACATTTTACTAAACGAGTGTCAAACATGAGTCCAAAATTAAATTTTATCATTTAATTATGAAAACAGATAAAAGATTTCACACACGTATCCAAGAATGCCTAAGAAATGTTATGTGTCCGACACGTGTCCAACACGTTCTTAAGGAGACTTCAGCATAAAGTGAATGCTTATGCCACATGAAACCAAAATCATCATTCAGGTGAATTGGTTAAAAAACAAAGAATAAGAAATTAAAACTTGCAGCATGGTTCCAAACTACACGCATCTGTTATACCAGTATAGAACTTGTACTACATTTTTTCAGGAACAAAACAAGATGCTAAATTTGCAGAATTCATAACCAAGAATTATGGTGATAATTTAGAAACTATCTGATCCCAATTAAATAACATGTATTATCAATTAATAGCACAATCAATTAAGCCCAACTTATTTGAAAGAAATAAGAGGCACTTATTAAGAAGAAGCATGTGAAAGGAAGTTACTACCTGTAGATGCAGCAATGCTGAAGGTGGTGTTTTTGCCCCTTGCCACAGGATAAGGAGATATCTCAACCCCACTGACCTTAACATCATAGCTAGCTTTCTTATCTGCATTTGAAGTGAATTAAACCAAGATAACATCATAATTATTTCCATTTGTCTAAAAGTGAACAAACAAAGAACCACGGAAACAAGTCGTAACTGACGCACAATTTTATATTGGCCAAAAATATTTTCAACCATATTGTGTACAAACACTCCATACACCGAGAAAACAAACTTTGTGAAAATGTCTTTTCATTTAACAAAAAACAAGTAACTTTGGGTTAGTTTGATAACGTTTTTGTTTTTATGTTTTTAAAAAAAATAAAAAAAAAAATTTGCTGTAGTAAAACTAAAAACAAAAAAAAAAAAACATGTTTGGTAGGTATTTATGTTTAACAAATTTTTTTTTAAATAAATAAAAAATATATTTGGTAATTAATCATCATCAACCTCGCATGGTTTGTACTCTAGCCGGTATGTCCACCCCCCCCAACCCACCCAAAAGAACCAACACACACACACATAACACTAACATACACACAGATGCACAAAAGACCCACACTGATGCACATACACCCTTAGATGAGGTCATTTTTAGCTACATATTACACTATATAAGCAAATCTATGCATATATATACAGATCTCTGTGTGTGTGTATGCATAGATCTATGTATATATATATACAAAGCTAAAAAAATTATCTTTCACAAATAGACGAGGTCGGATCTAAGCTTCGAAGAGGGAGATGATGTTAGATCTGAGCTTGAATAATAGAGATGAGGGAGAGATAAAGACGAGTTGACCTTCGGTTTCTACGTCTGGCAGCGACACATATGAGAGAGAGAGAGAGAAGGCTTTTATAGTTCCAACCACAATTCGGTGGTTTTTGTGCTAATAGGGTTCGATGGATGGACGTGCGGGTGTTTCAATATTTTGTTGTTTTTCAAAGCATCAAATTCCTATTTGTAAAATTTGGGCTTGTTTTCAAAACAAGGTAGTTTTTCACAAAAACCAAAAATAAAATGGTTACCAAACGCAACCTTCGTTTTTTGTTTTGGAACTAATTGAAAACCACCTAATATATATACCTCAAAATTTCCACACACAGCAGAAAAAAAAAATACAAATCAACCCCAACAAGAACAAGAATAAATAGTCTACAATTCAACCCGACATGGAATACAATGTTTGCTATCATTGCATAGGCAAAAATGCTCCGGCTAAAACTGCAAAATTGTGGGTTCATATATAAGAGCATCCACTTTCTGCAAAGAAAGGTCCGTACCCGGAGGTCAGATCCTCTCCGATTCTTAGCTCTCTCAGTTACCTCAGATCTAAATCACTCTTCATGAATTCAAGTGTCATTCAAATGGATCTACCACCAATACGTGGTACTTAATCTAGAATAGAGAGAATTGAGAAAAGCTAATACTAGAGGGTATCCAACATAGACAATAAGAAGACAATTTAGCTGCCAAACTAACGGAAACACGCTTAATTTACCTAAACCTTTTATCAAGAGGCACTACACGAAAACTCAATTAATCACAAAATTCAACTTCAAAAAGTCAAAACCCTACCGAAACAGAAATTGAGCATATTCAGCAAATATTAGGCAAACTGATTGTGAAAAGAAACGGTGCAAAATCGCTGATTATGAGGAACTCACTGCAATAGCGAACATCGGCGGTATGAGTCGAATGAACAAGCAGACAGAGAGTGGCAAGACAGGCAAAGAAAAGATTGAACTGAACCACCGCCATTGATATTTGAGACTCTGCCACAAGAAATCAATGTCAATTACTAAAATATACAGATATATGGGTATATCGAGCAATTTAGGGTTTCCAATCGACAAGATCGAGAGAGAGAAGATGATATGTCCTACGTCTGTCAGGCTCTGATGAGGTTAAGGAAGACTGGCAGGTTGGCTTGAACGATAGCTTCTATTTAAGAAAAGTCTAGAATTTCAACTTTCAAATAATTAATATTCCTACCCTGGATTTTCGTGGTGTTTGTATTTGATACCCGAGAGTCTAATAATAGTTTTTTAAAATACACTCACAGCCCTTAGACTTTATTAAATTGCAGGTGATTGAAATTCAAGCTTACGCTTACTATTTGCACATTGACAACTAATCTTGGACCACCTTACCTGGACGTGATTAAAATAGCCCCTTCTTATTTAGCAAGTAATGACCATTGACCAAGAGCGGTAGATATGAAAAATTGCAAGCGTTTCTGTTAAGTTATTTGAATCATAGTTTAATCTCAACCCCACCAACAATTAATAATAGGGTGGACTCAAAGTTGATATTTTAGAGGGGACAAAAATATGGAAAAAAAATTTTAATTAATTAATATTAAAAACTAAATAGGATTTTCTTTTGATATAAAAAATTCCAGTATTCAAACATGAGTTTTTTTTTTTTTTTGGTGTAAATCATTAGGTGTCCAATAGCTACAACGGGCTCCGATTAATTCGAATTTGAGCTGGATGCAATTGCATTCTCAGTCTTGAATCAAGGACTTTGGTTAAGTTAGAACAATCTCAAGTCAGTTGATCTACACGCTCAGTGATAAAGTTTATTGAGTTAGGATCCTATAACTTGCTTACAAAAAATGAGGGCAATTATACGATTATTTTTTTTTAAAAAAGGGATAGTATATTATTATTAAATAACAAAAGCATTGTCTTGTCCCTATAAATAATGGTGAAGACATCCATATTTTCCTCGGTCCAAAAAATGGAATTTGTTTCAATAGGTAGGCAGGTGAGTTGACTACCAACTTACTCGAAAAAATATTGCTAGGGCCACTCTACAAATATTTAAAAATTGACGGGGCAATGTAATGAATTTGAAATAATTATAATTCCTTCTTTTTTTTTCAGTCTATAACATAATTATAAGTAACTATTTTGTGTAACGATGACGTTGCGTTCAATAATAAACTTATTACTTATACATGGGCAAGCTTGGGTGGTTATTAAATAAAATGGCAGAATTGTTTACTATAATACGTGAGATCCACGGTTTATTTATTATGCTTTTATTCACATGACAATAATAATATATCGTTACCGTTCCATCTAAATATTTTTTTCCATATATAGAATGGCAAATGGAGGTTTAGGCAAGTGCCCCATGTGTATAACATGGCTCCGCCTCGGCTAGTTGAAATAATCCGTTATGGACTCATAAATAGAATTTATCTCTGAAAATCAAGTTACAAGAAAATAGTATTCAAGAGTTTATATACACACTTTTAATCAATGTGAGATTATAACACAATGCAAGTGTATAACCCTCGTGAAATAAAAATCGTTATTCTATAGCACTAGAGAGTAGGATATGTGATTATTTGACCTCCTATAGTTCACATGATACTCTTCCCTCTATTAATCAAATGATTAGGGTCGATGATCGAATTGAGTTTTACAAGTTCGAATTTGAGTTTATCAAGTTTGTTTTTTTAAATGAGCTTAAAAAATTATTAAAGTTTGACTTGTTTAAAAATGAGTCGAGTCTGAGCTGAGCCCAAAACAAGTTGAATCCGAACCGATGCCGAGCTTTGCTAGCTCCAGCCGAGCCTTTTTAGGCTCGTTTTTTAAACAAATTTAAAAAATTGTTCGAGCTCGACTCATTTAGTCAAATACTATCTGAGCTAAACCTGAGAGCTCTGCTCAATTATCGGTCCCATAATCGATAAATAAGACTAACAGAATTTGACATCATACAAAATTTTCATTTTTAGCTTGAAATAAAAATCGTCTTTACCCCGAAAGTTGAAAAATAACACGAGAAAATTTAGAAAACCATTAACTTTCTTGATTGCATAATCATACCTTCGTCCTCTTGGTGAACAACCTTATATATGTAACCTTATCAAATAATAAGGTGGCTATTCTGTATCATGTAGCACTCAACAGCTACCATCTATGCATATATCTTTTAAATACAGGAACAATTTTTTTCTTGTTCTTTTTATACTTTTTAAAAAATATTAGAGAATTGATTGGTCATCATATGTTTTTAACTAGCACTCTCAATTAGTCGAACAAAAGTAGGTAATGGTCCTTTGTATTTTTTTATTTTTTTATTTTTTAACAGTCAAGGGTGTTCGGATCAAGTTACGTACACTTCAACTAATCTTCGCTCTAGTTCAATCAAGGTCAGATCATTCACTCCAAAGTTATTATATTCATGAAAGATACATCTCTCGTGACATGATCCAATGAGTTGGACACATCGAGTATTATCAAGACAAAACTAATGAAAAAGGTGTTCTTGTAGTCTAAAAATAATACCTATGTGTAAGTTTGTCAAATATTAGTGTGAGTAGGGATGTCAGTGGACCGAAGCGAAGACGGAGAGTATAGTCTTCATCTCCATACCCGTTTAAAAAAACTCTGTCCATCTCCGGTCCACCCCTGTTAACGGGGATAATTTTCATCCTCATCCCCGTCCTCGGGTAAATTTCTAATCCCCGTCCCCATTCCCGCTTCCTAAGCCCAAACCCAAGTCTAAATCCAAGCCAACATAATTCAAAATATTAAATAAATCCAATATTTTAAATAGTTTCAAATCACCACCTTTTGGAATGTTAAAAGTTTCAAAAACACAGTTAGTAAGTACTCTCCTGTCTGCCCTCCCACACTTTGAAAACAGATTAGTACCTGCATCTTGTGCAACTCTAGATCATAAGACGATCACAAACCTACAGTTATTTTTTTAAGTTTGGACCATGAGGCGTGTGCTTCACAATTTGGACAGTTGGGTTCAAAGAAAACTAGGAAAACAATATCCACAAGTTATCATCATCCAGCATACACTAGGCCAAAAGCCTAAACACATCAAACTGTCTGGTAAGAAGTCCCTTCATAAATAAATTCTACCCAGAAAATTTCAACCCATAAATATTGTGATCTATAGCTATTAATGTAATTACTTTCAAATTGAAACTTTTTTAAAATTGTCTACGATTAACCCCAAATATGATAGTATTTTCACAACTACACTATTAAGTGCAAACAAAAAGGATAAAATGAAAAGACTTCTTTTGACACCAAAGTTGGAACAACACATAGAATGTAGAGAAACCAAAGAAGCAAACTTCCAGACACAAAAATCTGGAGAATGTCAGAACAAGGAACATCCCCCACGTATCGAAACAATAAAGCTCAGATTCATATATAATTCAGAATGTCCATCTATAAATTAGTAAATTCAAAAGGGATTTTTCTAGTTTCTCATGTAATAAAAGGTGTTTAGAGAAACAAATCAACAGGACAATCTCATATCCAAACGGTTGAAAAGCTGCACTTTCAATAAAATAATATTAAAAAAAACAAAATATTATGAAACTAATTATTTGTCCTGTTATGTGCATATATATAAATATTTTTTTTTAACGGGAATAACGGGGACGGCGACGGCGACGGGCAGGAGTAAGGGTAAGTTCATCCCCGCACGGGTTTATACGGGTATTTTCGTATACGTCCACCGTTCAATACGTATAATTCATCTCCGGTCCAAACGGGACGTGTTTGGACGAATACTCTTTTTTTCCGGTCCACTGTCATCCCTAGATGCGAACATTACTAATAGATTATTGACTATTCAATACAAAAGCTTACGCTTTTATCCACCAAGTTATAATTCAAATATGTCTAGTTACTATTCAATGAGATCGACTTAAGATCAATTCCAAATATTTTGGATTTCATTGGGTTCGGTCGTAACCTTGATGTCATTAGACCTTGACTTTATTGGGTTGCAATTTGTTCTAAATTTATCGATTTGGTTCAAAATTGGTATCGTAAATTTTGCCTTGATTTGTTCATCTTTTAATATTATAATTTGTTTTTTTCCTAATAGTCAGATTTGAATTCTGGCACCCTCTCAAATATCCTGCTCCTTTCATACAAAGTCTAACGCTTGCTCTTTCCAAATGATGTGTCGCGTTATAAACTATCCTACGAATAGTTGATGCTTTGAAGAAAATAAAATATTGCATCCCTTGATATAGACTTCATGACCGTCGAGGAATCTCCTTCCAATATTATTTCTTGACAGCCTTGTTCTTGACAATGCTTCCGTTGCTGCCATTGTCTCTGCCGTCTTAGCATCATTCTGTGCAAAAAGCTTCCTTGACATACCAGCTGCAAAAAAAGCCTTGTCATCTCTAATTACAATTCCAACACCAATTGCATGCTTCTGCTCAAAGATAGCTCCATCGAAGTTGACTTTAAAAATCCCAGATCTGGGAGGATTCCAGCGATCAATGGAAGAGAAAGATGAACTAGACTCAACCCACCCCGTTGGAACCATAAAAAATTCTGAGAGGGCTAACTAGAGGAAGTTTCGAGTCTCATTCTTTATCATTACAGATAAGTTAAAGGTTAATAAAAGTTAAAAAATTCAATGTAGTTAAACTAGTGTCTCAACCTAAAACAAGCAACCGTCGAAGATTTTTCTTCAAAAAAATGTACAACTGTTTCAACCTAGCAATCTTATGATCTTCCATAATTATAAGAAAGATTTGCTGTTTCTGAATTGCATATGCAAACTTTTTGGACTAGCTGTATGCAGTAATTGATAACCCCTTTTTAAAGTAATTCTTTTAACCAAGAAAGAAAATATTTTTAAGCATGTTTGATTACTATTTTGCAGAGGTGATCTGCAATACATGTTCGTGTTAATTAACTATGAGTCTGACTCGACTCATAGTTGATTCAGAGATGTCGCAGATGACTTGGTGCACTATTGTGATACAGTTGTGCGATATGACTTCAATCTCTTGCTATGTTTAAGTTTTTCTTCTTTCAGGCACAACATCCAATATTGTTTTGGGATGTCACAAGACTCACAACCCAAATGTTCTATTAGCTTGATTACCACCACTTTTAACCCTGTCTATACTCGATGTCATCCATGGATTCCTTACATGGCAAAGGTTGTGCTATAACGATAGTCATGATTCAAAACTCTTCAGCTTTTTGTTCCTTATTTTATTACTTACTCAAAAAGACCAGCTATACTGATTACTATTTGGAATATACAAAACATAGATTGGAAACTACAGAAACCAAAGAATAGAAGATACATAAAATGATCTGTTCCAAGTTTTCAACAGGTGAGAGAGTATAACAGTGGTGAAAATTCTTCATCCTACCTACTTGAATCTCTAGAAGACGATGGAAAACCCACTTTCGACGACTCCGGCTCTAATCCCTTCTGCTTGCCAGGGGAACCACCTCAGCCAAAGGTGTTGAAAGGGGTGTTGGCAGCGGAGAAGTTCTGCAGACCGGACAGGTTGGGTGGCGGCGCAGCCACGGATCCACACACTTGAGGTGGAAGAGGTGGCCACAATCCGGCAACAGGCGGAGCATGTCACTGCCCTTGTAATCGGCCAAACAGATGGAGCAGCATGTGGCGGTGGTGGTGCCCTCTTGTTTGGCCTTGGCCTCGGAGTAAAGCAATTTCGGGTAGCTCAGCAGTGTGGCCTCATCAAGCCCCATCTCAACAACACAATTTTCCGGGCCGGGCGGTTGCTGGAAATCTCTTTGAAGAGGTGCTGCTACGGATGTCTGGATTCTGGTGCAGTAGTATGAAGCCAAGGTGATGGTCGTAATAAGTAGGAGAATTCCTATGGAGACTCCAATGCCATAACCGAAACCACCGATGTTTTGGGAGCCCAAAAATCCCCCAGAGTTTGCTGTGGCATTCATGACCTTGATGACAAAGTTGATGAGCAAGTTTGGTTGTTTTTAGAGAGAATTGAGGTGGTTTGGTGAGCCATGGCCATGGCAAAACTGGTGGTTATTTGGGGGTTCAACGATTTGGAAGTCAACTCTAACATGAGAGAGAGAGAGAGACTTTTAATTTAAGGGAAGATGTATCTGAACTTTAAGAAAAAGAGAGGGTGGCGAAGTTGTTTAATTTGAGTATTAGACAACGCTTTTTCAATGTGTTTCTTAATGAGGTTGTTTGTGCCTGCAAGTTTTTGGATGTCAACGGTTCTCTCTATCCTTTGCTTGTAAGCTTGTTACATGTGGATGTGCCTTTCTTTTAGCTGAATTCTTCAACCATTCTACAAAATTCAAATCTCTCTCTCTCTCTCTCTCCATAGCACGTTCCTTGCACCACATAATAAGTTTGTGAGTAGCTGTATTTTATTAGAACAGGTAAGATGATATTGATTGTTCACAGGAGGATTCAAAACACTATATCTCTCTCTCCCCTCTCTCTCATGAATTGACTATGAACGTTTTGCTGGCAGGTCCCACAATATATATATATATATATGT